CTTTAGGAAGCAAAAGGGACAGGAACAAGTGGGATTCAACTGGATAGCTCTTTATCGGACACTACCAAGGACCAAATAGCTTTCTTCTATTCTCCAACTCTTTCTTTTTCTATGAAGATCAGTGGTGCTGAGTGGCCCAATTCCATGTTGCAAATTCTACATGTAATACATAATGATAACTTTCATTTATGTAGAACCTTTGACACAGTAAACTGTTCTGATGTGCTTCACAGGAAAATTGTTGGGGAAACTTTGACTCCAAGCAATGCAAAAAGATATTAGTAAAAGTGATTCAAAAGTAGGGGCCTATGAGAGGCCAGTTTTGGAGGAGAGATAAGGGGAAATGTTTATTTCTTTTCTGTGAGAAACTCATTCTTACAAAGTGCTGTGCATCTTTGGAACACTCCTTCTGAAAAGTTGATGGAAGTTGAGTGTTAGGATCCCATCTGATGCTGCTACTGGACAAACCAGATCCCAGAATGAAACCTGGCTTGATAAGAACATAAGAAGTCGGAGCAGGAGTAGGCCATTCAGCCCCTCGAGCCTGCTGCATAATTTAATCAGATTGTGGCTGATCACATCTTGGCCTCCACTCCACTTTCCTGCCAGCTCTATAGTCATTCATCACAGTACACACACAAGGCTGCAGATTTTCTTTAACAATAAAACAAGTTTATTACATAATAAGAAAGCAGGTCAAGCTGACGAAGTACAGAAATATTTTAGAACATACAACAAAACAAAGTCTAATTTATTCCCCAACATCATCAATTTACAACATTTCAAATCCAGAGAATTTATCTTTCCATATCAAATCTTTCGCTTTGGTTTAACTGTTTCTCCCCATTCTGTCCTTGAGCTGTGAAATTTCCTTACAGGAATACTCGGAACTTACAGTCATACAGTCATACAGCATGGAAACAGACCCTTTGGTCCAACCAGGACATACAGACCATGTTCCCAAACCAAATTAGTCCTACCTGCCTGTGTTTGGCGCATATCGTTCCAAACATTTCTTATTTATATACTTATCCAAACATCTTTTAAACATTGTAACTGTACCCGCATCCACTGTTTCCGCTGAAAGTTCATTCCACACACGAACCACTCTCTGTGTAAAGAAATTGCCTCTCATATCCTTTTTAGAACTTTCTCCTCTTACCTTAAAAATATACTTTTGAAATCAACTGCCCTAGGGAAAAGACCTGCCATTTACCCTCTCTATGTCCCTCAGTCACCATTCAACCTCCTCCGCTCCAGTGAATAAAGTCCCAGCCTATCCAGCCTCTCCTTATAACTCAAACTCTCCAGTTCCAGCAACATCCTGGTAAATTTTTTTTTGACCCCCTTCACTTAAATAACATCCTTCCTATAGCAACATATGATATATAATATCAACAACAATAATAATATCCTTACCATAAATCTCCAAACTTTCTCCACTCACCGGCCTGGTTTAGCCAATCAGCCTGTATTAAATGCATCACGTCTGCTTCCCACTGAGCTTCCTTCATGGTGAGAACTGTATGCATTCACCAGCTCCAGCTGCTCCACAATACTCAGAATGTGGGATTCTTTGCTGTGAGATCATTGGTCAAAAAAAGGGACAAGGAACAAATATGGCGAGAGAGCGGGAGCATAAGTGGCTCACAGAGAAGTGGATTCTTGTTCTACAATTAATGGGCTGACAGTGCTGGAAAACTGGGAGATGAAACAGGAAGACCAGGTGTTCCAGCAAACCCCCTTTTGTATGCACGCCCAACCCTCACCAATTTACTTACCCTTTCATTCCATGCACTATGTTTCATCTCACAGCATCGATTTCTGCTTCTCTGTGGTTCCGGGAGGCAAAATGCAACAAAAAGTGCTAAAAACATAAACTAAATGTCAAAAGCCCTGCGAAAGCCCCTATATACAGACCCCGTTGATCTGTACCGTGCTGCATTTTGAGGCTGTGCAGATGTTGCTGCTGCTGGGCTGTAAGGGGGCCCACATTAACGTGTGCTGTAATGTGTGACCTTATTTGCATCCACACAGTGAGGCTGTACAGTGCTGTTCATTACCAATATCATTAGTATCACTCAGTATAGTACAGGGCATTATTAGGCCTTAGTGTTCTAAAAAAATGACTGAATTAGAACCAAGCATTAAACGACCTTGGAAAATGATGACAAAATCACTGAAAAGGTGACAGTGTTAAATAGACTGAAAAATGTGCTGTTGCTGCCACGATGACGGTAAATACAGCATCAATGAATCCACAATTAGGTACATCAGTCAGCCTGAAGAATAAGGTCTCTGATAGTTGTATCTGACTATCACTGTCTTGGCTGAGTGTAGATACGATCTACAATACATTTCCAGTGTAAGAAACTCTGAACAATTAAACAGAATTTCGTCAGAACTTTGGGCTGGAAGGGACTAGCGCTGCCAGGTGCAGAGTGGAATGTGTGGGAGGCAAAACAACATGCTTTTTTTTTGAGATGATACAATCAGAGAATCGTTTCTAACCTAATCTTCAGTCTAACTTATTTTGAAGTCTGCCCTGCTGCAGATTGGAGCATTTTCTATAACAACATACAAGTACAAACTCCAAGGATCAGTGACCATGTGCTCAGAAGGAGAATATGGATTACCGTGTGCACTGGAGCAAGTCGTACGAAACATTGATAGTGGAAATTGAGGAAATAGTTTAATCTGACGAAAACAAGACAGGATTGCATCAACTCAGGTAGATTATTGCCCCTTCAGTTCACTTAGTTTTGGTCTAAACGCTGTTGTTAATCATATTGATGTGGAGGTGTCTGACATTTGATTTGGTCGTGAACTGGATTTAATGAGATAGGACAGAAACGTTGGCTGAATGCTGTATTCAAGAGGCATGACACAGATTGCAGCCAGCCAGTAAGAGGGAGTGCACCAGGACATGGGGAGTGTGTCAGACTCTAAGCACCTACTTCCTGCTTGTGGATGAATCTTACACTGTTGGATCATTGATTGGCCTGTGGCACCTTTTCCATGGAGGAAGCCCTGTCTTGTTGCTGCAGTGCCATTGGGAGTGCTGGGCACTGCCAGGACTGCATCTAGTCCTCTCAACATTTGCAGCCATAGAGGTAAGCCTGGGATCTTACTGGGGCAAGATGGACAGGCACTGTGAGCTGGCGATGGTGGGGGGGGGGGGGGGTGCTCAGTGCAGGGAGAGAGGGGGAACATTGGGGTGGGGATAATTATCTTGCGAAGGTGTGAATAGGGCACAGGAGGTCTGAGACCAAGGCACCCCCCTGCACTTTGCCACCATGGGGGCCATTCTCCCCCCCCCTCCCCCAGCCACTGATTAAACCTTAGAGGCCAGGGGAGTGCAGATAGCCCTTAGGTGGCCATTAGTTGACTCAATTGGAGCAAAGGTGACTGACTGCCTGATGCCTTCCCTGCAGCTGGTAAACGTATGAGTGAGCTGGGAGGGCAGGTGTGGGTAGAGAAATCAGCCCAGTCTAGTGAAAAAAAGTTAAGTTAGGAGATTTTATTAAGGCCACAATAAGGACAGGAGATCCTTCATTAAAATTATGTTAAAGGCATCCAGAATTTATTTAAACCGGAATCACCCAGGGGGAAAAAAAAAGCAAGAAACAATGTGAATCATTATTAGAGCAGCAGACATTGGGGATCAGCCATTAAAAACCATCAAAGAAGTCAAATTTATCTCTTAAAGCTGTGAATAGCCAGATTAATTTAATAAAACAGTGTTTAAAGTGAGCTTTTTTTTTTACTAAAGTGGGAACCAGCAGGATTCATCCAGAAAAGCCTTCAGGGAAGCAGGAGTCATTTATTGTGGCTGTGAATAGCAGGATTCATCCTGTGAAACCATTAAAAAAAAGGACATAATCATCCACTTTGGCTACAAAATGCAGGAATACCTTCCAATACAGCAGCAAAGAACACTGATATTCCAATAATGCAAAATAATCACCTTTTAAGCAAGAAAATAAATGATCACATTAGAAGTCATAAGATATATTTTCACATGACTATTTAATTTTGGAGATGGACTAAATAGAACATATAATTGGACATTTTGGAGAAAACAATACTGAAAATATAGAACTGCTTCCAAACTAGATACTAAATCAAAAGTGGAACAAGGTCATACCCTTCTATATCTAACTGTGAATATTGCACATGATGGTTTAGCTCGTGAAGATGTAAAAGAAGTAACAGATACTGCTGAGCAAATATTAAAAATCTTTGACAATTACTTAAATTTCAGAATTAAATTCTTGAATGATTAAGATTTAATAGAAGAGTTCAGTATCCACAGGAATTCATAGATGATTTCATCTAATATTTTTGCACATTAATGGAAAATCTTGACTATGTTGATTTACAGTCGGAATTCAAGAGGCAGATTAGTTATTAGAATTGCTGATGAGTCTTTGTCAGATTTATAACAATCTAAAGAAGACTTAACTCTAGAGAGGGCCATTCAGATGGTAAATGAAGTGGAAGTTTGGAAGTACCACAGAACAATCCTAAGAGAAGAAGAGGAGATCAGCAAAGTCGATTCAAATTTTTTTATTCATTCATTTGCTGTGGGCATCTTTGGCGAGACCAGCATATGTAGAATGGGGCGGTTCCAGAAAAAAAACAAAAAAAAAATTGAACAGCTACTCTCACAAAGAACTCAATGAGGAAAATATTCTATCATAGAAGAAAGCCTAAAGAGTTCCTAGGGGAAATAGGTGATCCAGACCTTACATTTTGGCAAGCTGATATTTATATCAATGTCATCTCACAAATTTTCAGTTAGACACCGTGGTGAGAGTCTCTATATCATCAAATAGTGCACCATGGTTAAGAAGATACTTTAATTCGATAAGAGCACCTGCTCCTAGTTTCATCCTGTGCTGTTCCCATCTTAACAATAGGCAAATCCAACTGTGAGGCCTTTACACCTGTACTTTAATAGGGTCAATAGATTCACAGTGCAATAGTACTCCTGGGTGATGGATGGGGTCAGCAGGGCTGTGCTGGTGGATGGGGTCAGCAGTGTTGTGCAGGTGGATGGGGTCAGCAGGGCTGTGCTGGTGGATGGGGTCAGCAGTGTTGTGCAGGTGGATGGGGTCAGCAGGGCTGTGCTGGTGGATGGGGTCAGCAGTGTTGTGCAGGTGGATGGGGTCGGCAGTGTTGTGGTGGTGGATGGGGTCGGCAGTGTTGTGGCGGTGGATGGGGTCAGCAGGGCTGTGCTGGTGGATGGGGTCGGCAGTGTTGCGGCAGTGGATGGGGTCGGCAGTGTTGCGGCGGTGGATGGGGTCGGCAGTGTTGTGGCGGTGGATGGGGTCGGCA